TATTATAGAATTATTGATCTTTTTTCTCTTTTCTTTAAAAGATAATATATATTGTTTCAATTATATCTAATTGAAGTCTAAAATTGAATTCGACCGATATCTCATTTGTATTATTTATTATATTACTAATAAAAAGGCTTTGAAAGCTAAGTATAAAAAGGAAATAAAGAGGGATAGAGAAGAATAAAAAAGAGATATACAGATTCCAATTATATATAAAAGTACGGAATAGAAATTGAAGGTATAAATAGTTGTAACTAGAGAAACAGAACTTAGACCTGAACGAATTAGGATTCTGATACTAGTTGAAAAGTATATAAAAGGAAAAAGAGTTCTTAGAGATAAGAAATAAATGAAAATGAATAATTATAAAGCTTTATAAATCTTATATAACTTTAATAATTATATTGTCTTTTTTCCTAAACTGAAAGCGAGAATAGAAGAAAGTATAAATACTATTTATCAACTTTTTATTCAATATCACTTATATCATTTTGATTATATTCAGATTCAGATTTATTAGATCAGAATTCAGAATTCAGAATTCAGAATAATCAATTAGAGCTTGAATATACCCCACATTTTAGTTCAGAGTTTAATGTATAGGCCATCTTTTCAAAAATCTATAAAAGATCCGAATAACTTCAAAATTTATATTTAAATTGAATATATAATAAATATCTATGGTTTAAATCCTAGATATCTATAGTTGTATAGTACAAACTGTGAGGAAGGTTATGAACGGCTGGTGACCAATAATAGCTATGAGCTATAGGCGAATAGTATTATTGGCTCAGCCCGAGCGGCCGGACTCAAAGCTCGTATCTCATATTAAAGGTATTGGTTTTCAAAAGGTTTTGCTTCCTAAATATTTAAAGAATTATGTTCATCTGATGTTCATATAAATTCAAAATAAGCATCATCTAATTGGCCAATAAATTTAATACTGGAAATGTTCGGGTAATTCCGTAGCATCATGGAACATCCAATACTCACACCATTTATCGAGGACTTCCAAGTTCAACAATTGAACTCACAATGATTGTTCGGTCTCCTATATTGGCCGGCGCGTTACGACAAAATGGATTGGGGAATGTATGTCTATCATGCTCCCTACGAACGGAATTGAGAGGACTATGGACAGGCAAGAGGAATTTCTCAAACACGAATGGGAGGAGGGCAACAGTAGCGCAAAGATTGGGAACTGGGTATTTTTTCGCAAATAGAGATATCTTTGGAAAGGTGGGAAGATGGGGCATGGGGACTGTTGCAGATGGACTCGGTGGGAAAGATGTGAGCGAGGCAAAGAAGATCATTGAGAAGGAATCTACGATATCAACCACTACAGAAACAGAAGACATACAACCCCATCGACGAAGGCGGCATAAACCATCCCTCGAGCAAGAAGGTGATAAAGAATTTCTCCCCGAAAACTCCTCCACCATCCACGCCGATCGTGCAACCGCCCTTCCACAATCTTCTATAAAACGACTATTATCAATCCTCCTATCCCTCTCCAAACCCCGCCTCTCTACACTCGTCGTTCTCACCGCGTGCTCAGCGTATACTCTCTACCCCGTCCCCTCACTCCTCTCCTCCACTCTCCTCGAAACACCCAGTCTCAGTACCCTCACGCTCCTCTTCCTCACAACCGGTACCGCCCTATGCGCCGCTTCCGCAAATACCCTCAATATGCTCTACGAGCCCAAATTCGACGCCCAAATGTCGCGAACACGGAATAGACCGCTTGTTCGAAAACTCATTTCTCCCGGAGGCGCTCTACTTTTCGCAATTGCGAGTGGGGTTGTTGGGGTGGGTGGTTTATATTATGGGGTTAATCCCACGACTGCATTCTTGGGGGCTCTTAATATTGGATTATATGCGGGAGTTTATACGCCATTGAAGAGAATCACGGTATTTAATACTTGGGTTGGTGCGGTGGTTGGAGGTATTCCTCCTCTGATGGGTTGGACGGCTGCAGCTGGACAAACCTCCACGCATCTTTCTTCTTCCTCCACGCCTGAATGGCAAGACTTATTACTCGGGCCTGATAGTGCGGGCGGTTGGTTACTAGCCGGATTATTAGTCTCGTGGCAACTTTCCCATTTCATGTCCCTATCCTGGTCCATCCGTCACGAATACAAAGGCGCCGGATATAGAATGTTATGCTGGGTAAATCCAGCCATGAACGGCCGCGTGGCTCTTCGATATAGTATCCTCTGCATCCCCATATGCATCGGTCTCTGCTACGCAAACGTAACCGAATGGACATTCGCAGCAGCGAGCATGCCCGTAAATATATGGTTAGTGCGAGAAGCCTACAGATTCTGGTATTACGAGGGTCAAAGAGGAAGTGCGAAGAAACTTTTCTGGGCAAGTGTTTGGCATTTGCCGGCAGTACTTGTTTTGGCGATGGTGGAGAAGAAGGGGTTATGGAGTAGGATCTTGTCGGTGGTTTTTGGACAGAGGATACGGGATGACGAGGATGAGGAGTGGGAATATGTGGATGAGGATGAGAATGAGACAGAGGAGATACCGGTGCAGAAATTACCTGTGCAGAAAGAACCGGTGGCAGTCCTGGCCGCGGCAAATACGAATAGATGACGTTTGTGATGTAAAAGATTGGTGCATATGATTGTTTTAGAGATTCTTGTTTATATATCTCTACTTCTTCATGCGGTACAGTACGCTGCGGTGTGCATATGACCTTATTAGCGAGCGTACAATGTCAGATTTGATATGATATACTATACAACTCCATACACTCCTCCATACACCCACTCCATCTTCATGTAAGGACCTTACTCTCATCTCAATCCAGTCCAATCCAATCCAATCCAATCCAATCCAATCCAACCCAATCCAATCCATACATTCCAAACAACCACTCCTATTTCCTTCCTATATGTGTTCTATCCATCCAAATTCATACATCTCCATCTCCATCTCCATAAAATTCCAAATTCCTTATTTATGAAGCAGTACTCCCGAGTCCACTATCCCTGACTCGCTCTTTCTCGTTTATTTTGAACTTTGTATTTTGATGGATGATAGGTTGTATGGATGATAGGATGGGTAATGTGATAGGTTGGATGATAGGTTGGATGATATGATGGGTGGTATGATGAATGTGTGATACGAACTGTTTCCGGTGTGTTTTAATGAAATGAATTGAGTTGGGACTCGGGGCTGGGAAATTGAAAATTGGAAATTAGTAGGGGGAGGGGTAGAGGGGTGAATAGATGGATAAATAGGTAGATGGATAGGTAGATGGATATGTGGTGTACCCAGTGACACTTATCAAGAGCGATACAGTATTGTTATTAGAAATAGATATAGACATAGATACAACACAGTCAGTCCACAAGTGAAAAAAGAATTACGTTGTGTTAAAAGAGCGGCGGTGCAATCTACTACATACGAGTACATCACTTGCAGTGGGGATGGTACCGTAGTCATATATGTGAAATAGAAATATATCAGAGCTATGCCTCTATTGTTCCATTTCATTCCTAATTTAAACCCGAGTATGTCAAGTGGCTTTTCGATTTGGAATTAAAGTTGAGAATTAATCACAATAGATCAACATGTATATAGAAGAATCTGCTGATTTTAAATACAGTAAATACCTGGAATAGCATCATGTTGAACTTTGATACCCGAAATAGCCTAAGTACTAATCGAGATATGATATATACTATTTCAGATTAAATCTTTTATATTATTCTGATTACAAAATAAAATTTATTAATCTAATCTCAAGAATAGAAATGATATTATTCTGATCACAAATTTATATATTAATCTAATCACAAAAAAAAAAGATGCTATTCCGGTTACAAAATTTATATATTAATCTGATTATAACAAAATGATATTATTTATATAAAAGAATATAGGGAGAGGGGAAGGGGAAAGACTATGTAAAAGAATATAAGATTATTATTTATATCAAAATAACAAATCAACTTTGAGATCAGAATAGTACTCTTTTCTTTTTCTATAACCAAATTAATATATAAATTTATAATCAGAATAGTATTTTTTTAGTTTTTTTAAGATCAGATTAATATATTATTTATATTACGGGGCTGGTATAGATACTAGATAAGATGTATAATATTCAATGAGGAGAGAAGAAGATATATAGAGCGATAACGACTATATAGTAGATGGATGTCTAAGATATCTATTC